GCGCTGAGTATTGTTGACGGGCAAATTCTTCAGCGCCTTGAAACGCGAGGTACGAATGAGGAGACCTTTCCATGACAAGCCGAGCCAAGCTGATCGGATTCTTCACCGTAGAGACGCCGGAGACGGCTCCGCACAGCCGTCCATTCCCGTCCATTATGCTCGCCTCCATCTCCACCGTCCCATTACGAGTAAGCACGGATCCTCTGCCGGCGTTGAAGAAAGGATCCGACTCCATTTCTCTTACCACAAGCTCCACGGCGTCGACCGCCGGCTCGCCGGATTGTAGGGCGGCGATGCCTGCGGCGAGGCAGGGGGGGGGGGCGTTGCCTCCCCCCTGCCTCTCGAGAGGAAGGTTTGGGTCCACTCCGGCCCCACCATGGACGGCTATGGCCCACTTACTACAACCCGTCGTGGCCATTAATTTCTCTTAAGAAAAAGATGAGACTCGGAGAATGGAGAACGCTGTTACCCCCTCTTGGCTTTTTATAGTACTAAATGGGGGTGTAAACGAGGTCAACACAACCCAGCTTATGCTCAGCTCATATTTGACTCGTTTATATTTCGAGCTCAAAAAATGTGTTCGTATTCGGCTCGTTTGCGTAGCTAGTCGAACACAAGCCGTTCACGGACAAAGAGTCGTTTTGACAAACTTAATCACGTAGACATAAGATGTTAAGGATTGGGACAAGATTTAAAACATCATTTGAATCTAAATTATTAATTTTTATTCTATTTATAAATCTTTATAGCGTTGTAGTGAATTAATTTTTTTAGAAATACTACTCATCAAATATATATATATATATATAATTGATTAGTAGTATTTTGATCCAAAATGAGTCGAACACGAACAAACAAATATTTATTCATGTTGTTCTTGTTCAGCTCGTTAAATTAGCGAACGAGCTGAACACAAGCTGTTCACGAATAACGAACTGCAATAAATATACGCTCTACAAAATAACTTAGATTATTAATTTTCTATCTTCCATTTTCTTTCTCATAGTGGGTTAACCAAAGTAAAAGTACAGTTGTAATTTTTCTATTAATTAAATCATCAAATACATTGTATATACACAAAGTTGATACTAAATTGGTTGAAAATCAAGATATGGGGAAATATGTAATTCAAGTCCTCGTTTGTGTGAAAAAAAATGTAGGGGTGGCCCATTATTAAATATTATCACTGTTACATACATTGATGAAACTAATAATATATTAAAACTTGCTCTACAGATATAATAAAAATGATTTCATTTTAAGTAAGGGTTGATTACAAGGGCTTTGGCCCGGTTCAAAATATGTTTGCACATGCATGCATCACATATGATAATCATGAATGCCTTCTCTGAAGCATGGATTAGTATTAGAAAATAATAGTTTAATAAAACTAATAATTGTGCCTTAAAATTTCGGTGAATTTAATCATAAATTTATACACGATGCACATGCAAGGCAAGGAATTCAGGACCGGTTGAATGAAAGTCTATTATTTGTCACCTCCCGAAAGAACTCTTTTCAGAGGTCACAAGTGGTATCAGAGCAGATTACTGTCTGTCTGCCAGGTGTGTGGACTCTCCATGGTCCAGTAGGACCCTAGGTGGCCGATGTGTGACGAGGGTGTCACGTGATTGGGTGGAGGAAAATATCACGGACAAAAAGTCCCACATCGACTAGGGCTCTGTTTGGGGCAGTTGCAGTTTCTCAGCTTTTCAGCTGCACTGCGCTAGGAAGCTGTTGTGTTGAAGTTGCTGCTGGGAAACTGGTTGTCTGTTAGTTGCAACTGTCTGAAAACAGTTGTGAAGCAACAGTTTTTGAAATAAATTACAATTTTGCCCTTATTTAAAATTATACAACCCACTTAACAGTGAATACCGAAAGTATTAAAAAAAGCTAATAAAATTACCAGTAAATTAAGAAATTAATAATGCATAGTTTTATGTAATTTCTTTTTAATTATAATAATACTTCTTATGTTGCTAATATATAAACTTCATATTTTCCAATACAATATATTTTTTTTAAAATGGTATTTGGTTTACTTTAGTTTATTTTTTAGTAAATTAAATGACTAATTATTTCTCTCAATTTCTATATCATATTACAAAATATATACATAACTATTAATTAAATAACATTAACATTATATTCTAAGTAAAATAACTTAAATAAAAATACATTAACTATTCCAGGCTCGGTTCACATTTGCACATACGACACCCTCTTTCTTGAAGCTTCCTGAGTGAAGCTCATCCCTACTTCCTTCACTTGCTCGTGCACCAACTCAAGAGCAGATCCAGCGCTCTTCTCATTCTCCAGCACCGTCACTAGTGCCGCCCCTCACAGGTTTTCCGGCAGCCGGTTCGACAACGACCCTGCTCATCCCCATCTCATTGGAGTGTCAAGCTTCGATTTAAAGGATATTAGTGACCTGCGGAGAGGGCAGTTTAGTAAAAATGGAGGGGGAGATCTTAGATCTGTGGAGAGGGCAGAAGGATATCGCAAGAGGGCAACTCGGTAAAAATTACGTGAAGGAACGCCGGCTGCAAGGTCAACCTCACGGGCGACTTTTTATCAAAAATATCACGCGTTGTTGCGCTGTCGCTGGCCCAAACATCTCAATTCTGCAGTTTCCAATCGCGTCGCAATGGGGAACCCCCTCCAAATTGACCCTATGAGTAGGGCCGAAAAGCGGTATTTAAGTCTTTGTCTGTCCACCACTCTAAAGAGCTCTTTTGGAAGAGCAGATTACTACCTTTCAGGTATGTGGACTCTCCATAATCCAATGGGTCCCTCGGTGGAGTCGATCCGTGATGAGGGTGTCACGTGATTGGGTGGAGGAGAATGTTATTGACAAAAAGCCCCACATTAGCTAGGTGTAGGTTCGATAAGCCGTATTTAAGTCTTGGGTTGCCCACCACCCCGAAGAGCTCTTTTGGGAGGTGACAAAGAAGTCCCACATCGGCTAGGTGTAAGGCTGAAAAGTTGTATTTCAGTGTTGGGTTGCCCACCACCCTTAAGAGCTCTTTTAAGAGGCGAAAAGTGGTATCAGAGCAGATTACTGCCTGTCAGGTGTGTGGGCTCTCCATGGTTTAGTGGGACCCTCTAAGAAGTTGGTTCGTGACGAGGGCATCACGTGATTGGGTGGAGGAGAATGACACAGACAAAAAAAGTCCCACATCGGCTAGGTGTAGGGCTGAAGAACAATATTTAAGTCCTTGGCTGCCTACCTTCCCTAAGAGCTCATTTCAGAGGTGACAAGTGGTATGAGAGCATATTACTGTCTGCCAGGTGTGTGGACTTTCTATGGTCCTGTGAGACCCTCGGTGGAGCTGATCCATGACGAGGGCATCACGTGATTGGGTTGAGAAGAATGTCACGGATAAAAATTTTCCACATCGGCTAGGTGTAGAGCTGAAAAGCAGTATTTAAGTCATGGACTACCCGCCACCCCTAAGAGCTCTTTTGGGAGACGACAAGTGGTATCAAAGCAGATTATTGCCTGCCAGGTGTGTGGACACTCCATTATCTAGTGGGACCCTTGGAGGAGCAGATCCGTGATGAGGGTGTCACGTGATTGGGTGGAGGAGAATGTGATCCCCGAAAATATAGTTGTGTAAAAATTATAAAGTTGACTCCTTTTTACAACGGTGTCAAAAACTTGATGTGATATTTTATGAATATGAATGTTAAGCACTTAATATAGGGATTCTACGCAAGTATACGTATCGTTATCAAGTAATATAAGACTTTTTATTTAAGCCCCAAATATCGATCCCATGAGAAAAGTTTAGATTTTTTATTGATAAATTAACTAGGAAATTCACAGAAATAAAATGAAATTATTGTCACTAATTTGGAATGTTTGAGATACTATCAGAACTAAATTATTAACTACTAGCAAAATTTAAATGCAAAATTTAAAATAGTAACTACTAAACTATGTTTATGTGATGAAGTTTTCTAATATGAAAAAACACTTTCCCACTACAATGAGTTTTTGGTAAAATGAGATGAGATAAATGGTTTAAATATGTATTGTGCCAAATAAGAGCAATTCTAATTCTCTACCCTAATTCAGTGTTATAAAAAAGCATTGGCTAATCTCAAGTTTAATTCCTAAATCTGTGGCTAGGCTAGGAGGATACTGGCTCTCACTCCAGAGCTCCCACTTCCCTTCCCTTGAAGGCTAATGCTCGCTTTAGTTCTTAAGTTCTTAAACCAAATTGGGGATTTTAGTCTGTCACCCTAAAATCTCCAACTCTACACCCAACAATGTATATTTTTCTATTTATTTGCATTTAATTTTCTATTTATTTGTATATTTTTCTATTTATTTGCATTTAATTTGATGAACAAAATACTTTATGGAATTAAATGTGATTCTCACTCTGTTGTAGAAACCATACTCCATTTCCTATATCATATGTTTAACAACATATTTTAACAATTCACTTGGTCATATCAAAAAGTAAATTAAGAACAGAGTTGAAAAACCATCACAATTTATTTTATATTTTAAAATTAACACATCCAAATTATCTCTTCATTTCACCATATCTCAGAGTAGGGAGAAAGATAAAGAAAACTACTCGCTTAGCCTTCATGAGAAAGATACAACAAAAAATAAATTTCATATATAAAAGAAAGTTTATACAATAATAATAAACAAAAAACACTTATCTGAACACTTATCTGAAACTTATCTGAAACTCTTTCTCAAAGAAAATCCCTTGTAACCTCTCTTAGGAAATGTAGGAAAAAGAAATATCTCACTTCTCTCCCTCTCCAACACTCTTAAAGAAGAATTCACACTTAAACTCACCATAAAAACTCAAAACTATAAATAAAATAAATGACTAATGGACTCTAAGTGGTTGTAGGGAATGTGGAATAGCGTGGAAAAGAGTGAAAAATGGTTGAAGGGTGTGAAGAGGCTCTTTTCTAATCAATTTTCTCTCTAAATAGAGCCTAATGTCTGTTTTCCGATAGGTGCATCCAAAAACTCTTTAAAAGCATCCAAGTTTGTTGAATCTTCCAGATCAGGGCTTGCACCGACATTGGCGCCGTTGGCGCTAGTGGCCCGTGAATTAATTCTGTACTTTCTGTCAAATGGCGCCGTCAGTGCTGCTCCTGATGCCGTCAACACTGAGGAAAATTTGGCCTTTGTTCTGTAGGTTTGCGCCATCGACGTCCATTTGGCGTCATCGGCGCTGAGTATTTCCTCAAAAATGTCATTTTAACTCCAAATTCCAACATTTTTGCTTCTTGATTGCTTCAAGTCCTAAAAATCAACAACCTGCAATACAACATGATAAATATGTTCCTTTAAAGTGCAATATCACCAAAAATGAGTATAAAATATAGGTCTAAATATGCATGTATTTTTTAGTGTATCAAAATCCCCCAAACTTAAATGTTACTTGTCCTTAAGTAACTCCT